CCTCCACTGTACACACCAAAGAGCAGTCAGTCCTGCTGCAGGGCCTCCTTCCCAACAGCACCTACAGCATCACAGTGACCCCCATCACCAATGGGACCAAGGGCCAACCAGGATACACTACCGTCACAACTCCAGGTCAGTAAATATTGTTCTTTAATTTCAGACTTTTAAATTGGAACTTTCATTCTAGAAGCTGCTGTACCACCTTATAGTATCTATTCTAAACAACCAGACATCTATTTTGAGGTAATGGTTTTAAGAATTGAAATGAAATATTGAAGTAGCTCAAACTGCATTAATGATTTCTTTCTTTTACTTCTTATAATATATATAGTATATTTGTTTTGAGACATTTGTTTAACTTTATGTCCTAGATGTCACTGTGAAAAACCTCCCATCTGCTCCACTAGTCCTGGAGGTATTTGAGGTTGAATCAGACACAGGAACAATCTTTGCTACTTGGATATCTCCAGAATTTCCTGAAGGAGACATCTTGCACTACATTGTAAGGTTCCCTTCCCAATGCTCATAATATAACCCCCCTGTTATTATTTCACAATATATGGATGTAGATGTTGCTGACCCTTGTCTGCAGTTTATTGCAAAGACAAAAAAAATTATTTGGCTATCTGGTTTGGTTGTAGTCTGCATTGTATCTTACTGGGACTTCCTGGTAAACCTAAAGACAGGTTATGGATAATGTAGAGTAGTAACCAGCATGTTAAAAAATAAGCCTTCATGTCTGCAGTACTTGGTTCATGAAGACTTCAGAATCAACAGGGGTATAACATTTTTGGTCAGTTGCAAAAGAAAAACAACAGAAACTTTTCTTAAAAATTTTAGAGGTTACATAGGCAAACTATTCATTGGTATGCACAATTTCTACTAATCTGTTACCAGCAAATGTAAAAATATCCTTCATCCTATTTAATGGTCAAAAATTACCTTTAATATTTTCTTACCATTGGCTCCTGTTACATTACCTTAGACAAAAACAAATTAAATCAAGGTTAGGACTGTTACTGTATAGTATGTTTTCAAGTTCATCAGGAATTGTCTTGCATCTATCACAGTAGATCTTGTAGGATTGGTTTGAGCATAAGCTATAGCAGCTATCTGTTAGCTTGATTACCAAGCAGCAATATACCACTGGATGAGTGCTTCCTGGCCAGGTGGAATTGTCTCTCTTTAATGTATCAAATGTATCAATTCCTTGGGTATCTAATTGTCAGCTTCAATATATTAAGGATCCTTCTAATTGTTTTTAGACCATTCAAATCCATTAATTGCTTTAAAATAATCTTTGTCTTCATGATTGGATCTTGTGTTTATTCTGAAATCAAGTGAACCACCATTACGTATGACAGATGCCACTTAATTCATTTTGTGCACATACAGTAGATTAATTTAGGTTTGCCACACCAAAGAGTTTTAATACTTACTGTCTCACTCAGACAGTCATTACTTTTTATTTTTCTTCCATATAAATTATCTATTTACTTCCTTCTTTTACTTTGGATGTATGGAGTATGTTGTGTAAGAAACATAATAATTATTACTTTGAAAGTGTTATGAATCCTGCTTGTAAAGCAACAAAATGTGAAAACTTAACAAGGGTCTGAATACTTTTGCAAGGTGCTGTATTCATTATTTATATAGATATTGGAAGCTTGAAAGCCAGACTGTTTTAAAGATGTTTTTATAAAATTGCTATGAAAAACCACCTCATGCCCCCTCCCATAGACACACAAGCTCTTGAAACTAGTCCAGGAACAGCTGTATACAGTACAGAAAGAAATGAATTTCACTCTGAAAGTGTTTCTTTTCAGCTGTATTTGCAGGATGGAAACTCTCCTCCAAAAACATATCAGACAGAAGACCCTTTCTTGTACATTAATGGCCTGAATCTAGACACACCTTATAACATCATAGTTACTGCAGTTAATCAGATTGGGGAGGGACTGCCAAGCAACACAGCAAGCATAGTCCTTCAGTCACCACTTGTGAGTGATGCAGGTACTGTATTGTCACATTGTTTATATTCCTATGAAGTGGAATGATTACTAAAATCCTTTATAATACAGACAGTTATTGGCACTTAAAAAAATACAAGTTGGTTCTTTAATTCAAAGCATTTTAGATGTAATTCAAATGTATGTTGTACATAATTATGTGTATGTAAATAAATCTGAGAAACAACTTTGTTGGTATAAAAATATTTTGGTTCTTATTCAGGCATTATGGACAGAGACTTACACTAATTCAATATAATGTTTTTTAGAAGTAAAAAAAAGCTCTTTAAAACAATTCCACCCTTGGTGTTCTCTACAAAATTCAAACTTTATCTTGCAAAATCATTTTTGTGATTGTAGCAGTTAAGTGTTCTTGCTCAATCATAAACACAGATTTGTGTTTTCTCTCTTCATCATGAACTATGAACACAAGAGGCTGTAATGTAGTGTATAGTTTAATGTTTCAGTTATTACCACCCTGTAGCCTGTAGCCACATCTCATTAGCTAAGTGAAGTTAAGCCTAATTAGGTCTGAGATATGAGACCTCTATTAAAAACCTGGTTGATCCTCTAATTGGTGTTGATGGGTCAATAGGTGGCACTCACCTGTATTGACCGGAATTCTTAATCCAGATCCCAGAGACCCCATGGACACTTGTCTGCAGCAGTTGTTGTCCTTTGGATGAGTTTTATTCCGGAATGTACTGCAAGGTCATGAATAATACCATGACACTGTCTGGAAAAGGAGGTGGATCCTAGTTAAATTCCACTTAGGGCTTGTATGATACTGTATGTTTTATAGAAAAATTATTTGGTCTATGTGAAAACAGTAAACAATCACATAGAACTATTATTATTCTAAATGACATTTTTTTCAGCTGCTACCTGCTGAACCCTGAAGTATGCTTTACTTTTTATAGTTTTGTCTTTGGTCCTTTTAATTTCAAAACCACTAACATCAGTAGTCCGCAGCTTTAAATGCAGTTCATTTGTTGATGTTTGTCACATCACTGATTCTTTTTTTCTGATTCTAGTTAAAATGTTTAAGCCCAAGCTGCTGACAAATGAAGACCTTTCTATCAGAACCTCGAGTATCCTGCTGAAGGAGCCTGACTGTGGCGTGTTTGAGAAAGCTGCTATGCAGATACAGACCATATACCAAAAAAATGTCTCTGTTGCATTAGTGGTAGCTGAAAGCAGTGGTATGTGCTTGACTCTGAAGGGGAAATGTTGCTTGATTGATCTAATGTCATTCCCTTGGGTTTGTGCACTTCCCTGAGAGGCATGATATTAGTTTGTGCAGTTATTAATCCTGTCCTATGTTGCTAAAATTGTATCACACTGCATTTTTTAGAGGTCTGACCCGACATTTGTCTTTAGTATCTATAAGGGTAACTAAGAACTAAGAATATTAGAGCATGTACGGTAGATATTGTAAATAGTAAATATTGAATTTGTGGCATGTTCATTAAATGTCTTCATTGAGAGAGTACAGTAGGTGCTGTACTGTACGCGTATATGCTCATATGCTTGTTTTTATTTGGTCTTTAATGCATCTTTATTATATTTTCCTTCTTTGGCTTCTCTGTTGTAGTACTCAAGGAGAACTTCACAGTGGGTGTGTCAGCTTTTGCAAACCTGACTTATAATGAGACAAATATTGGTAGCCTAGGCCCATATGTCTCTCTATCCAACCTCTCACCATATGACTGCTACCAAGAGATGAACAAGAGCAGGCTTCTTCAAAGGGACACTTCCAAGCTTTGTGGGTCATCTGTGGAAGACTGTAGGAATGCAGAGAAAAGAGAGTAAGCTTTTTTTGTATTATTAAAGGAGACAATTTCCCTTTTATCCTTTGAAACATCTTAAAAACATCTTTAAAAAACAACAAAAAAATCCAAAGTACATAGTGAATTTGCAAACTTAAGATTTGAATATACTGAATATACAGTATACAAAAGTAAAATGTGAACGTCTAGCTTAAGGTTTTTTTTTTAGTTTTTAGTAAATGAAACTGTTGTAACAGAAAGAATAAGGTTCTGGATCCCGAGATGAAGTTGAACAGATGAGTTTATTGCATGCAAGGAACAATAAAGCTGAAGTCTTGTTTCCCGCAAGAAACAGCAAAACCAAAGTATTGTTCCAAGTGCTGGTACAAACTTTAGGTTTATATATCCTTTCCTTTCCACTTCTGACGTCACTCGTTATTATGGTAAAGGGGGTAGGTCACGTGTTTGGCCAGTTTACAGCTTTTTGGCCAAATGGTCAGGGATTAAGTCCCCAGTGGGTTTTATAGCTCTCCTAGCTCGCATCTGGAATCCTTATCAGTTCTCCCTTTTCCTGCCATAAACTCCTGTTGCTTAGAAGTCTAATCTTCAAGCAGAAAGGTCTTAATTTAACCCCCATCTTTACTTTTACTTCAATACATAGGGTCAGTAAAATACAAATGTTACTTTTAAGATTTAAGTGCTGGATTAGTCTACAGGGAAATTATATTAAGATTTAGGGAATACAATAGTGAAGAGAAACTTCAAAATGGAGTTTTCCTTGATTCTCATTTTTATCCCTGAACTTACGCTTCCATCTGGAAACTTTCTATATATTGTCATTATTGTAAAATCATTCCATTTTACCTGTCATAGCACTAATGCAGACATTAGAGCCAATATTGTGGGCTCCACCAAGAAATGCATATCAGCCAGAGATCTCTGCAATGGGCCACTCCGCCCTGAGACAGGATACAGGTAATTGTCATTTTCAGACTTTTATGAGATCCTTCATTTTAGCTTTTAATTTCTTTTACAATACAATAGGCTACATGTTAATTGTGCTTTTTATTTTGCACTACCGATAGATTTACTTTGAGCTAAACTGAGCCATGTTACGATTTCACTGCTGAGGGGAGAAAAAAATAAAATAACAGAACAGTAATGAGAATAATCAAGACAGTAATAAGAATAATGTCAGACTGAGATTAGTAGGAAACTTTGTTTTGTGTACGAGGTGCAGATGATAAGTGTGTTTTTTTTTCTATATTTGTTTTTTCTGCTTTAGGACAAGGTATGTTCTTGTGGATGACACTGGGAAAGCAGTGATGAGCAGTAACTGGTCAGACACATTCAAGACAAAACCAGGTGAGGTTTCAAAATGTAGAATATAAATTGGTCTGAAAAGCTAGGGTCCTGATTATTAAGTGAAATGAACACTAAACTAACTGGGAAATTTTCCTACGTGTAATTAGTTCTCCAAACAAAAAAATATATATTTTCTGTGATGTTTGATTGCTTCTGTGACTCTCTAAATATCTCAAAAATGTCAGAGACGTGTTCTGTTTTTCTAGAGCCGATTCCATACCAGACCATACAGCCCTGGGACTCAGTGCACTCTGCTGGGATGATTGTCCTGGTTGTGATATTGGCAGTGCTCTTCTTTCTCCTCCTGCTGCTCTGTCTGTTCTGCTTGGTCTGCTGTAGGAAAAAGTAAGCAGGAGGCCTGAAGTGTGTCACTTAGCAAGACTTGCTTTTTCATGCCACAAGACTGGAGACACCTGCAAATTAGATTCCAGTAAAAGCTGGGCTTCCCAATACTATTACCAATCTATTACCTGGTGAACATGACAAAACAGTTCTGTTGGAAAGCAAAAGCAAATATGGGAGCAGGCAATTCTTGCTGGTTTTAACATTCAATTAACAAAATGTAATTTGCTAAATGACTTACTTGCTAAATAAAAAAAAGTTTTATCATATTAAGACCCAAATTAAAGTTTATAAATAAGTGCACAGTGATGGAATTTTAATGACATTCTGTCTGATCTTTGGAAAATATTATCATTAGCATCATACAACATGCATTTTATTGAGGGTGTGTTTAGAGCAAGTCTTAATCTTATTTTGTTTGTGCCACAGGCCCAGGAAGGTATACAAACAAGCAAAGGCATACGACACCCACTATACTAAAGACATGCTGCACAACAGCCTGGCGACTGGACAAGTGGTCAGAGTGCACAGGGAGGTACAACAGGAGAATGCCCCCTACTTCATTCAGTCAAGAGAGGAGTACCAGATGTCCAGCCAGACCTCTCCACAGCTCCATAGGTAGAGACAAGCACAGGCTCACAGTGCCGGACCTGTGCTGTACTCAGTGCTGTACTCAGGCAGAATACTGGTTCTGAAACACATGAAAATATTAAATGACAATTAAGTCTGTTGATTGATTTTTGTAACCTAAAAACTATGAAGAAATATAATATGTAACTGTTGCAGGTTGTATCATTTAAAAAAAAATGTACTGGAGCTAGGTATTCAGCCGGGAAAAACAAAAAACAAAGCTTTTAAAATGTATGTAAGTACCTGATGTTACTAAAGAAACGCATGGACTGAAACACATGACTGAACAAGTTCAGTAAAAAATAGGCCCTCTCTATATTAGAATTTAAGTCCCCACTCAGCTGTGTAGAGGGGTAAAGTTTGAACATATAACATACTGTATACAGATAACTGCCTAAATAAAGGATATATTGTGTAACATTTAGGGATACAAAGTATTTTGAAAACAGATGGTTCCACACAGGTGTGGTTTAGCGATTAACATCCCAGCATGCTTAGGGTCACGTAAAAAAATACTGAGCAGGCCCAGTTGCCCATTATTTTTGGTTACCAAGGCTAGAAGAAGAAATGTCACTTTGATGACTTTGTGAGAGGGGTCAATGTGCCAAACTTTGGGGCGCATTTGGAAGGAGCTTCAGTGAGGAAGACTGATGAACATGCAGGTGGTACACAAGGAACAGTGGCAAAGGTGATGTTGGCAAGGGGGTCTGAGGTAAAGATGTCATCATCTAGGGGCAACTGTGCACAAAAGCAAATACTCCTTTGGAATTGCAAGTGGAAAATTGCATCACATTCCTCCAATAGAGTTCCAGACACTTGTAGAATCTGTGCCAAGACACATTTAAGCTGTTCTGGTTCCTCATGGTTGCCCAACTCCCTGTTAAGACACTATGCTGGGGTTTCCTTTATTTTGACAGTAACCTGTATGTACAGTACATATTTGTATGTTCTTACTAAATGTAAGATTCTTTATTTTCTTAAAATCAAAACAAAAATAAAACCAAATGATGGGAACCTAAAAATCTGCTACCCTAAATGCTATACAAAGGGGATTTGAATTGTTCAAATTACTATTTTTTTTTCTTTCAGACATAATTCATTTTATGCATTCTTGGAGAACATAAGGAACAGGTCAGTAATATACAGCAATGTAAAGACAATCTGCAATGTAGAAGAGTAGACCTGATTATCTTTATTATAGTGTTATTTTTTGTTTTCAGAAAAGTGATGTGTTGTTGGGATCTAAAAATCAGAAAATAATCACACCAATTTATTTGTAATTGCTTGCTCTTTCTGTATATTTTCTCAACACAATTTTAGCAACATGCAGACCCAGTGTGCAAAACTAACACACTGCATATTACAAGCACCCCAGCTTATCTTTAAAGATATGCATTAGGTAAATGTATGCAAGTTCTGAGTAATATATTGTATTTTTAGTAAATACCAAAAATACTGTATGTATTCAATTATAGTCAAATCAATATGTTCAAACATTTTTAAATGTACAAAGATGTCTGTTGGGTGTGTAGTGGGTTAAATGCTGTCATAAGTACCTCCATTAATAATCATTTTCCATTTTTAGGGTAACTTTGGAGGTGAACAGTTCCACCCACAGGTAAAATGACAGTTTCAGAAACAGAACACTGTTATCTTGTTTTCCGTACTGTTCCTAATATTCCGGGTAGAAAGAAAACACATAAGATACTCCAGTGACTTTACTTTTGTACATATTTTTCAATATCACATCATAAATCTGGGATTACTGTACGTGCCAATTAAGAAACAAATGAGGCTTGAAAACCATGATGCAGCATTACCTAGGGGATCACAAGTCAGAAAGTATTATTTTTATATTTTGTTTTTCTCTCACAATGCTCCCACACCCAGAGAGCACCCAGAGAAACTGTTCATCACTTATCCCATCACTACATATGCTGAAGCTTGGTCACATTGAGACTGATATTGTTTTCTTCCTTTTGCTTTGGTTACGTGTCCACTCAGTCCTATGAAGGTCCTATGAATACTTCCTTCAGTTATTACCACGTAATTAGTTGTATCGGAGCATCTATTTTACCTTTTTATGACTTTGCTTTGGAATCTGCCAGCTTTGTCCATTCTGCATGGATGGAAGCTCAAGTTGTTTCTGTGCTTGCTTACTTATTTTCAATTGAATTATCTTTATTGTTTTAAGACAAATTTGTGATTGTACTATTAAAAAATATACATTGATGATGTTAACAAATAACATTGAAAGCGAACCTTAACTGCGATGGACCAACATCTGTCATTTGCTATGAAAAAAAGAAAATCAAAATTTATATGTCCTGTAATTCCATTAGGCACTATTAAATTTAATTATAATGTTACTTTGTTTGTTTGTTTTCTAAGGCAACCAGATCAGAGGATTCTTGAGGCAATTTCAAGGTAAAGATATTTTCCTTCTGCAAGATTTTATTTCAGGCAATTTTCTGATTTTTATTTAAACTATTAAGATGCTTTCTACATATTTTCATTTGATTCATTTATTTACCTGTACAAAAAGAATCAGAGAAGAATTAAAACTGAGAACAGGAGGTACTTTGTTTACAAAGAGTACTGTATACAAAGAGTCTGGAACAAGCTACCTAGCCGCGTTATCAAATCTGATGATCAAGAAACCGCCAGATGCGATCCTCCGATCCTCTCAGCTACTAGAATCCTAACGAGCTTGATATACCAATTGGATTCCTTTCATTTGGAACACTTCTTAATTTTTTATGTTTAATATTCCACTGTGTCATTCAGCTTGTTAGCAATAATTAAAAGTTGTTTGCAGAAATGATCAGTTGTAGTTAATGGGAAAGAGGTCAACTTTGATCAGTTAATAAAGAAATCTGTAGGAAAATGATGACACTATGATAATTTTTGTTGCCTATCAAATAAACCCGGTAATGTAGATACTGCTATGTAGATTTCTTAGAGGTCTTTGTGCATAAAAAATGCACAAGTAAAAGACAAGTAAGTGTCTTATGAAGTCTGTATAAAGCTTTTAGCTTCTTCATTAGCCATGTAACTTCTTTTGCTAAATTTTGAAAACTCAAAATGTTTACAAAGTTCATTTATTAGTTTTCATTCTTGCACAGTTAGTTATGACTAACGTAAAAACTTAAAATTTCAATTTTTGTCATGTAAAACATAGCGTCTTACCAGCCAATTTAGTTCAAATTTTAGGATATTCTTATTTCTTATTATAGGAAAAAAAATGTAATAATGTTGATTTTTTTCAGGTCTTCTACACTTGGAATTCAAACTTCAAAACCAAGGTAATGTTAATTTATACATATTTAAACACGGAAGTTCTAACAGAATGATAGCAATTACAGATGAGTATTTTTTATCAACACAGGTCAAGGTCTGCCTCTGACTTTCTGGAATCAGCAAAAAGGTATTTAAAGTTATGAATCTTTGATATAAAACAAGTAGTTACAGTAATTTACTTTGCTTTTACTGTATACATAAATTCCACTCTTTATCAATGATTAAGACATGCACTTTTTACATGCAGATCAAGCACTCTAGCAAGACAACAGGGAAGTAGTGTGGCAGGGTAAGTGAAAATTGATGCATCTTTTCAGTTGAGGTGACATTTATTTGACCCATGATATAATTTTGGTTGCTCTTTCTGAAACCCTTTCCAAGGCAACAATAACATACCAATGACAAAAAGGCTTGTAAATATTTGCAAACAATACTCTATGTGCTTTGTGCATGAGTTCGTATATTAGTTGTTTAGTTGTTTTTAATTTTTCATTTACTGCAAAATAAAGCTATGCTGGAAAAAAGCCAGCATTGCCAATTTTCCCTGACTACAAAGGGAAGCACTGCATCTTTTACATGCCTGTCAAGGAAGCTAGCATGCGGACCTGATTTCTAACTTAAATTTGATCCTTACTTAACTTATAGTATTTTCACTTCCAATTTTTTACAATTGGAAATGGAGCTTGACTGTCACGGATCAACAGTTGGTAACACCATACTGTATTTACTGTATTATCTGCTGTAAATATATTCTGTACTGTATTTATTCCAAGGTATACAGTAAAATGCACGATCCGGTTCGCCATTTCAGATCATGTCCCCGTCAAACAAAAACAGGATGTCAACAATACAGCCAATAAATGCACTGCAATTTACTAATGTGTTACTTAGAGAAAAGAAGTGCTGCTGATTAGTTATTCAGTTGACCTTTAGCTGTTGCTCACAATGTCTGCATGGAAACAATTACTTTTGTACAATGAATAAACTAGTAAACAACTTTTAATGCTAATTCTTCAAATCCAGTACCATCCATTTCATATTTCTAGCCTACTGTACATTCCTGGTTCCTACATTTAATGCTTCTCCCTTACTTTAAATTTAATTTCTCAAGTTTATGCCAAGTTCCAGACAGAGCTGAACTCTGTCTTGTATTTCCTTTTCTGCTTTCACATCATATATAACTGCTTCTTTTAGGATCACCTACAAAAGATTTATAATTAGACCAATAACTAGGTTATTGGCATTAGCCTAAGACCTTACTCAGGATTTTGCATTTAGATTCTGTGACCAGCTTGGAAAACGTATAATGCTGCCTTACAAAATCTGAATTGGGAGAAAATGGAAACGTTCTGTTTGTTTTTTTCCTATGGCCAGGTCAACTCAGACCACGGTAGTATCTTCCACTGTCTCTCACAATAGCTCTTCCCAGGAGTCATACAGCATTCTTCACAGACAAGTGTGAGTACTGATTTTTTTAAATTAAATATTTCAGTTTCCAAGGAAACTGGCACCTGGTGGACTTCATACTAGTTTTCAGTGTTTTAAGATGAGACATCTGAAAATCTAAAAGCATAATTTGAAAACTTAGAGCATTCAAGTTTTGATTCAAAAAGATCTTCACTTTAAAAATATGAATTTTAAAATCGTAATCCATCAAGATGGGACATTATTGGAAGGGGGTGAATGATGCACAGGTGTATTTACAGAATGGAATGGTTGTTCTGGGCAATTCAAATAGGTTTTCTGGATTCTGCTCTGTCAATATAAAACCAGCTGAACTTTAATATTCACTCTATGTAGAAGGGTTCTCTGTGTTGTGGAACTGTGTGCTGCTCAATACTGTTTAACAGTTGTGTGCTGTTTCCTCTTCCTCTAGAATTTCATCATCTGTTTCCGATCACTCTGAGTCTGAAGCAGTGCCCGTGTAGATGGTGAGGTTCCTCTTGACTTTCCTAATATGATGACTACATTGAAGAGACATTTTCAAAAATGCACTCCCTGGGCAAAAGCTTACAACTCCTTTGAATGGCTTACAGAAGCAGGATGATCACTGGCTACCTCCCTTCCAATGAAGAAATCTTATTCTTCAGTCTCGTGCTGCGTCGGCACACTCCAGTCTCCCCCATTGCTCCCTACTATAATCTGCTTCGCTGGTTTATACCTGATTCTTAAGCGGTTATTTACATCAGCATTTAAGCTGTCAATTTAGGACCCAGCAATTATCCACCTTACAATCCTGAATATGTTTTGGGCTTTATTACTGTAAAACTATGGTGAAAGGAAGGGCAGTACACTTAAAATGTCTATATTTACATTTATATTCCTACATTTTCTATATTTATATTTTTCCCTATAGCAAAATCAAATCATGTTATTATATTATATGATCAATATGTAAATTTAGTCTGTTGCATGAATGATAATTATTATCGATAATTAGGAATATCTGGGTACTATTTGCTTTTTTTTGCTATTAAAATATATTCTGAACATTTCAAAATACTCTGTTGAAGGCCACTTGTCTTTTTCTAAAGTAATTCTACACGAATATTATCTGTCTTTTAAAAAAGGTTAACTAAAGTTAGTTATAGAATGGTTTCAGTTTGTTTCGTATCAATAGAAATCACTATCTTACACAGAATAATATTTCATTTTGTAGAACGCAAATGTCAATCTAACATGACTCTTAGTCTGTTTTAATTTACTACATTCTGATTAAATTCAAGAAATAAGTGTTACCGAATTGGTGTTCAATTATTATTAAACATAAAATGAACATCACATTTGCAAAGTTTTAACAATCTTTTTTGTACCAGGTGTCCAAGCATTTATTGAGCAGGTACGATATAGATACTTTTGTTTATGACTATCATTTGACCAACAGGGTGTACAGTCTACAGTGAAAGTCACAGGTAAGGAGTGCAGGTGGCCATTGCTTGAAGCAATCTGCAACACATGCATCGTACCACTTGTACTGTATACCAGTAAGATTTACTGTAACATGAGCAAACTACAGGTGAAGTTTAATCATTAGAAGTGCAGCTGAAACAAAAGTATTCGCACAAGGGTGCTGCTTTTTCACAGTGTTCTTAATCCCCTCAATCCACACAAACAGCTCCATTAAATGAAGTAAAGTGCAGCATATGCCAATAATTGTGAAATATAAATGTCTCATTCCTCTATTGACTGGTGCCCATATAGTTAGTCATTATTTGATGTTGTTATGCGTAAGGCTGGGAGTATGTTGGTAAAATCAATTTCTAGGTCACAGGGTTATTATATCTGTTAATGTGGCCAGAATCCAAAAAAGCAGGAAAACAGCATCACAGGATCACAGGTACTGTATGACAAGTAATGGTTACATCTGCATAAAACTGAAAAGGGACGTGTATTTCATGCCAATTTTTTACAACGGAAGCTACAAACTGGGCACTTGACAAGCACAATTTTTAATTATGTACTGTAGATTGTTTGACTTCACAAGGTATACAGCTACTGCATTGTACAATCGATAATGTTTGTTTTCCATTCAGTATGTTTCATTGCAGCATTACAGTAACCTAGATTTAAATTAAAGATAAAAAAAACTCCCTTTCGAACCAATTCAAATTTGGCTATTAAAAATAGCCAAAGAGCAGCACTACTGTGCTCGTCTATTTTTTGTGTTGGGGGTGGGAGGAGGGAGATAGGATGGCAGAGCACACTAATAAGTATAACACCACCTTGTGGACAGTTGTGGTATCAGGCTCCCGAAAATATAATTTTTAGAACTGACCATGCAACACCAGAGAGGGATAATTCACTAAAATACCAGCCTTCTTTTAATATAACTAGACGGGAACACTCTGTAATTAAAGAAGAGCAGGAAAAGTTACAAATGAAAGGAGACCATTCAGATTATCTAACCTGTCTGCTATGTAGTAGCTAATCAGCTAATAGATGTGAGAATCTGGCTATTTCTTGAAATAAGTCACAGTATCAGCTTTATCAATATGGCTGGGCAGCTTGTTCCAGAATGCTACAACCCAAGTCCAGGACGTGATGCAGTGATCAGTGTTTAACATAAAAAAAACATGTCAATGGACAAACTGTAAAGCTTCAGCTAAACCTGCAGCCTGTGCTTAACCTGTGCTCCAATGACTAATCTGTAAAGTAATATTACAAAACCACAGATTTGCCAGAATGTTTAAAGTTTCACCAGTTAATACTTTGTTTCCTTTAGATGTTCGGCACTCCCTTCTTATAGTCACTTGCCCCTGGGCACTCATTAAGCTCTTATATACCGTATTTTATTTTATTGAGTCTGTCAAAATGTGCATAAAGGTGTTAGGTGTCTTTATGGAGCCAACATGAACATTTTGATCTGCCTAAAAATATTTTTCATCTGAAGCATTGTTTATTGGTACTGTCAAACACCTGGCAGCAAGGTTTTCTGGAATCTCTGGTTCCCGTTTTTTTCAGGACTTCCAGATTTCAGTTTGTACCTAAGCATTGCGTACAATTTCACACTAAATACAGTTTTCATGTATTGCAATCGCAAAGCCCGTACAGCCTGAGCGGTTCAATTTTCAAATGAATTATTTTATCCTCTGGGCATAAATGTAGAATTATAAAGGGGCACTTAGAACTATGAAAATAGGAATTAATTTATATACAAAAGGGTGATAAGTGTAACAACAAATTGCCTAGCCACGCTGAATCTGTTTTTTCTTATAATAATAATAACAACTTAAACTTATATAGCGCTTTTCTGGACACTCCAGTCAAAGCACTTTACAGGTAATGGGGACTCCCCTCTACCACCACCAATGTCCAGCATCCTGGATGATGCGACGGCAGCCATAGTGCACCAGAACGCTCACCACACATCAGCGACCAGTGGGGAGGAGAGCAGAGTAATGAAGCCAGTTCATAGATGGGAATTATTAGGAGGCCATGATTGGTAAGGGCCAATGGGAAATTTGGCCAGGACACCGGGGTTACACCCCTACTCTTTTCGAGAAACGCCCTGGGATTTTTAATGACCACAGAGAGACAAGACCTCAGTTTTACGTCTCATCCGAAGGATGGCGCCTGTTTACAATATAGTGTCCCCGTCATTAGGACCCACATGGGCCGCAGGGTGAGTGCCCCCTGCTGGCCCTACTAACACCTCTTCCAGCAGCAACCTTAGATTTTCCCAGGAGGTCTCCCATCCAGGTACTGACCAGGCTCACACCTGCTTAGCTTCAGTGGGTTGCCAGTTGTGAGTTGCAGAGTGATATGGCTGCTGGCCGTGAGTTGCAAGGTGTCCCTTTGGATTGCTAGTAGTAGCAAAGTTCTTTCCACACATTGTTTTATGCTGACAAAATCTGTTCTTATTTTTCCATGAAATTGAAGTTACTGAAAGGGCATTAAAGGCAGATGAATGAGGGTCACCCCTCTTCAGGAAACTGGGGGAAAGAATCAGTGAAGCAATCATCAGGCCTTTATTTCAGCTGAAATTAAGGCACCATACAGCAGCCTGAGAGGAAGTAAAAGTTTGTTTTTCTCTTTTAATTCCTCTACCTGTTCCCCTGGCAGAGCTCTCTTTATAGCCAGATCACGGAGGTTACAATTCTCATTCCCATGCAGCTCCCTCACACAGCAGCTGGATGATTGTCCTTCCTGTTATCCAAAACGTCATTTGTAGCTATCTGCAGTCTATACATTATGCCAGAATCACAAGGACATGTTAACAAAAGAAGTGTTTTAAACTAATATTTTACAGAGGTCATCAGTGCTTTGAGTATAGGCATAAGGTTGCAAGCGGTATAATTGCAATACTTTTGAGATTAGCATGGTGTTTTATAAAAGATAATGCAATCCAGCATAATACTGTAAATTGAATGGTTTACAGAAGAGAGTCTAGTCATTGCAAGGAGGTGTGTAGACATTTGTGGAAAGACCCACTTTTCTCTTCTTTAAGTCCTCACTGGCATCTTACATAATTCAGGTTCACAGGTGATGAGCTCCAGGACTGCTCTGGTAATGGGATGGGAATTGCCCATATTAACAGTGATTGAGAAAGCTCTATTTTAATAACTCTGCCTTTTTGATTTTTTAAAGCAAATATTTAATGTAAAACTTAAAAATGACTGTTTGTTTCCTCTTTGGCTTTATTTTTACTTTACTATGACTAATGTTTGTGAAAATGAATACAACAACCCTCAACCATCCAGGAGCAAGTATTAGTTGTAGTTAATATTAAAACAGTTCCTTGCATTTATGTAGTGTTTTGCATCCCAAAGTGCATCATATAGGAGAGAAAGCATGTCAACCTCTGAAGTGCAGCCATTATTTGCCAGAAGAGAAGGTAGAGAACATATTTCACCAGCTGAATCAAAGGGTACAGGAAGGCCAAAATGCACAAGACCAGGCTGGAATTTAGACATAACACTGGGATGAACACATTTGGAACCACTATAGGCTCTTTGAAGACCAAGTAGTCATGACCTCAGAATGCCTCATCCAAAGGACAGCAGCAAAGGTTTTGAAAACCTCTGGTCCAGAAGAAAGCGTGCACCTACAGTACTACTCCACCAGCCCTCCTTGGAGTAGCAAGCTGATCCTCTGCGGGATTTCCCATCCTATTAAGGATCTGGCACACTCTTACACTGCCACTCTTACATTGAGATCTATAAACAAGAAGTTAGGCATACTGCTGCCATCTTATTTACTGCGGCTTTCTGAAAGACGTGTTAACACATTAACTCTTTTTATGTTGGTGATTATGAAAAGCAACAGGTGGCTCTCAGTGCTGCAATTGGAATTTTGGAACAGTTTTTTGAGGGAAAAGAAAAATTCCATTTGCTGAGACCCAAGTGAAAGCAGTATTCAGATTATCCTTAAACAGTATCCCATCTGAAGTAAATTTGAAATAAAAAAGGTAGAATCCATTGCAATTTCAGGAAAGCAGATTATGAAGGAATGAAACACAGTTTAAGACAAGAAGTAAGGGATAGAGTCATTAAATCGGCAGAGAACCGATTGTAATGGATGGAACAAATACGCTCAAACTTGCAAAGACACTGATAGAAACTGATTTCAAATGATTTCATATTATAATGGTCATTTGTATATAACTGTTGGTACTGTAGGTTTTTTCTATAGGACTTTTGAATTTTGTTTTATGCTATGGGAGAAGGAATTAATTATGTACTATCACTGTTCTGTACAGTATGCTGGTTCTCCTTGCTCTTGCCTTGACATTTATTCAGAAAGGTAGTTGGTAATTCCAAGTAAAAGAAATTGAAATTTGTGGTTGTTGGCACTTATTTTATTATTCATTAGAGTTAAAAGATTTGATACAAGCGTTTTATGTGTTCATGGAGTTTATCAAAGGCTCATCAGAAAAGGCGGCAGAGGGTGACTTGTGTGCTACTAGTACATGGTTTTCTGCCATCTGGTTATTTTCCCTGCAGTGTGGGAAGAACTGGGGTTCCAGTCTCACATCTAACTCGCGGTTTACTGCTCAGAACCAAGACCTGAGAATACAGTGCTCAGTTTCAAACTGTTGAAGTCTGACCATGCTGTGGGAGTTCAGTCAGCAGGACACTGATAGCACAACAGTCTGTCATTGCACAAAAGCCTGGAAGGTTCCTGGAACTTCATGGACTAAATTCCAGGAACAGAAGCAGAGCACCACAAGCTGTAACGTGATTACACTGAAGAGGAAGGTGCTGCCGATGAAGTACAGGAGCCCTTTTGAGGGTCTTGTGCTGTGTTGTGTCCCAAATGAAAGTAAATAAAGAGCTGCTGTTTGGAGACAGTAAGAAGAGCAAAGTTGAATTAGGTCACACATGGCAGAGGAAATGTACCGAGAGAATACTGAAAGTAGAGAGTAACAGCAAGGCCAGAGTATGAGTTAGTCTCCTCCTTAGTGGCTGATAAAGACTCTGAGGTCATGTTCTGTTTTTTGTTTCTCAAGGTTTGTGGATTAATAAAATAAAACATGGTGGTAGATGTGTGCTTTTTCTCCACTGCTGTTGAAGTGAAACTCTTTGTTCACCATGTACAGTGATAACAGTGATAACAGCCATGATCACAGGCAGTGTGAGAATGTGCCAGAATGTACCAGAGGACCAACACTGTCGTTTGTAACTGTGAACTATCGCATCTTTTTGCTGGGATGCATCCAGATTTGTTCTATAATCTTTTAAAAAGGAACACTGATAAACATGTATAATTTACTGAACAATAATGATGATGAATATTGAGGAATATCATAGTTTTATTTGAATGATACTGACACTTCTGTCTGTGGATGTAATGTGTGTCAATAAAATGGATCATGACAAAAAAATAATAAAAACTGGCATAATCTTAATTTTTCCTGGATGTCTGGTAACTGTAACAACTAAATCTAATATCTGCCGATTGGAAACTTTTATGGATGTAATTGTGCACAACCACCAAAAGAGTAATAAGACTGAACCAAATTCCTATACACCAATATAGTTCTCCTACTTCTGTTAGATGCATGGTAAAAACAAAGGTAAACAAGAGGATAATCTGTATGGCTGTAGGATTGTAACAGACAATTAGCATAGGACATGTTTATCTAATTTGTTAGAGTTCTTTGAACAAAGTAGAGCAGTAATGGATATAAACAGAGCACATGCACTGTTACTGTATGCATGGGTGTCTCAGAGCTCACAGGCCCGTCTCCACGACAACTGGCCGAGGAGTCAAACACCTCTGTGAGATCACTGTGCCATGAGAACTCCTTGTAGGCTGTCTCTGCCATCTGCCCCCACTTAACAGATGATTATCTTATGAGCTATAGGTTACTTAAACCCTGCTCTGTCCGCTGTGTGGAGCTCTGACAGTGCATTTTCTGTTGAATTGAGGAAGTGCTATTAGCACTAACCAGTCTCTCTGAACTAATAAGATCCAGCCTGAATCAGACAGACTGCCCAATCCCAAGGCAGAACCACACTGTTAGCCTGAGTTCTGTCCACCCCATTATACCTTGTTAGCAACTTTGCTTGGTTCCTCATCCTGTCCTACAGTCGTGGCTCTTTCCAGGTCGTCGCCTTGTTGTAACAATGCACTGTGTACTTAGATTTCATAGACTGGGGGAATGTGGTGGAGAGACAATACTGCTGTCTTTGGATGTTCCCATGGACGGCCAGCACTCACACTGATTGACAACATCAGGTATCACCTTGTTACATGTAACATTCTTTTTATAATCTGTTGACCAAGATGTATTCTCAATTGATCTTATCAATGTATTTTATCATACTGATTTGTCCATCCTTCTTTTTTCTTACTGTACCACTTTATTTAATCCAGGGACATGGGAGAGCAGGGGCTTATCCCACAAAGCAATGGGCACAAGGCTGGATACACCATGGATTGGACCCCAGTCCATCACAAGGGCATGTACAGACAAAGAGGCACACACTCACACTAGGGCCAGTTTATCATCCAGGTACGTCTTTGGACAATGGGAGGAAAACCACAGCATTCTAGCCTTACAAGGAACCGATGCTAATCAAACCAAGCCACCCCTCTACTTTCCGTTTATTAACTCATTCTAAGGTCGAATGCCATCTTTACCTTGAAAACTGCCTAGAATTTGATTAAATTATCTTTTATGAGGTATTTTATAAAAATTAGAAGAATGTAAATATACTACTGTCATGTATGCTGACATGTATGCTTAATCAACAAAATCAATGATCGAATGGTCCTCAGGTCTATTGCTTATTAACAATTCCATAAACTTACATGTAACAGACTTGAGACTTATTGTTACGTAATTACTTGGTCCATTTTTGTCACCCTTTTATGGATGGGTCTTACCTTAGCTAATTTCTGTTTAACCATCATTAGCCCTGGCCTAATTGATTGCTGGAAGAGTTTTGCTATTGGCTTGGGAATAACATCTCTGGTTTTCTTATTTACAATTGTTACAATTCCCTTCAGGCCCTGGAGGTTTGTTTACTTTTAATATCCACAATTCTATGGTTCTTCAATGCAAGTACTAAGACTTTAATATGGATAGAATTCCTTTGTAAGCCTGAAATTCTGTCCTTGGCAAAATGAAATATTCATGTAATATCTTAGCTATCTCCAAAATGAACTTGAATCACTTTCTTACTTAGATTAGGTTGTGTCATTAGCAGTCCTAGGAATATAAAGTAACAAGTTAAAGGTTTATTCCATGCTGAAAAGAGAAGAAAGGAAACACAACATTTTGTGTATGAAAATGGAAAAATATATTCATTTTGTCATTTTGTGGCAACAAAAAATCTGTCATTTTCTGTACTCCCTAATACAAATTTGGTATTACAATATACAATTTAAAAATAAAGCAAAACTTCCTGTTTCCTTTTTCGATTAGAACCTATGTATAGCTGTTCTTAAAGTTAACATTAACAAATAACAGGAAGAATTTAAAAAGAATAGAGAAAGCACAGCACAATATTTGCTATTTTGCCGCCACATTAAATCTGGTATTTTAAGATTTAATGCAACACTTGAAATCTGTGATTTTATTGGAAATGTTTCTCAAAATGCTTGTTCATTTACCATACTGTTAATTACAACATTTCCTTCTGGTAAATTTGGAAATTCAACACCACCCTGTTTGCACCATGCTACTTGGGCTCTGGTTTCTGTATATAAGGCAGTCACACTACATCTGAAGACAGCAGAAATACTAAGATGTTCATATAAAGATGCCAGAACAAAAAGAATTAATTCACAGCTTTAAGGGCATTCCCTTCTCAAACAGAGTCTCCACAGAACTGCTCCAGGCCTTGGATACCTTTGATGCCAGAGAAGATGATGTGCTGTTAGTGTCCTATCCGAAATCAGGTAAGAACATTTAAAAAGGTGTTTTCTCATGTCCTTGTACTGTATCTCTGGTGTGTATTTGCAGTCCTAAGCGTTTGGTTTCACACAGTTTTGTTTTTGGTTTCTTCTGAAGGCACACACTGGCTGGCTGAAATCATGAAGAATTTGTACAGCCGCCACAGTGATAACCACAGTGCTGGCCTGGTGACACTGACTTCATCTCTGGAGTTTGGAGATCTCTCCAAATTTGATGAGCTGAGAAACCTTTCCAGTAAGAGGCTCATCCCAACACACCTCAGCTATGACATGATTCCTGTGCAGTTCAAAACAAAGAATTGTAAGGTAGGCAGTGAAAGCCCAGAGTATACATCTCAAGATCTTAAGACCAGCTAAAATAAAATATTGCATATTGGACTGTATATTGGATATTAATTAATCCCAAGGATCATTCCTCCTTTTTATTGCTAATGCATTGTAGATAGATTTGATTGAAATGTGAGAGAAATTGATCTTACATATATACAGGTTTTTATGTACCTGTATTCAACCTCTCTTTTACTTGGGGTTTTGTGAAAACAGAGTAATGAGTCATATGGATACAGAAGTGCAAGTATAATAATCATGGATGAAAATATTCAAAGAAAGGAAGGAAACCTGCAAAGATGGAATGATTGTACTTTTCTAGACCCTTAGTTATTTGCTAGAATTTTAGAAGGCACTGTATATGGGGCGGAGCGGTGGCTCTGGGGCTAAGGATCTGCACCTATGGCTGAAAGTTGCTGGTTCAAATCCCGCAGCTGGCAGAGGAATCCTACTCTGTTGGGGCCCTGAGTAAAGGCCTTAACCCCAACTGCTCCAGGGGTGGTGTACAATGGCTGACCCTGTGCTCTGACCCCAAGCTTCTCTCTCCCTGTCTGTGTGTCTCATGGAGAGCAAGCTGGGGTATGCGAAAAGACATTCCTAATGCAAGAAATTGTAAAGGGTTAATAAAGTGATGTTATATACAAATATAAATTTACAAATGTATGCTTTATGGCTTCTCAGATGATTTATGTGATCAGGAATCCCAAGGACACAGCAGTTTCAATGTATCATTACTACCAGCAAAATCCCCATCTACCCAATGTTGAGAAGTGGTCATCGTTTTTAGAGATATTCCTGAAAGGTGAAGGTAAGCATATTGTTTACACTGGTACATATTTTGGGAGATTTCATATTATATACTGTAGATACAACTGCTAGAGTATATCAGTTATAACAGGACACAAATTCAATTACTGCCCAAATGTAAGCTGAGGCAAATTTTTAAAGACATTATCAAATTAAAATGCTTAGTGATTGCCAAACTGTAAGGAAGCTACCACAATTATAACTAGTACTCAAACACCTCTGTTCTCATTGCAGTGGTCTATGGTTCTTGGATTGATCATGTTCTGAGCTGGGAGAAGAATAAAAGCAATGAAAATATGTTGTTCCTGTACTATGAGTCAATGAAGAAGGTGATATAATATTTTCATAATGCGCTCTAATCAATGTGTGCCTAAACATGTATTAAAATGATGTTTACTTAATTGTTCAATGAACCACTTTACAATTACAACTAAGAGCACATTTTAGTGTGTTCAAGTAGGAATATGAAAGAAAAAAAACTTCAGGATATTACTGTACATTGTTCCCCAGTGAGCTAAAGTGGAAAAACAGGATAATTTCTTTTCTACAGGATCTCCCAAAACATGTCAAAGAGATCAGCTCATTTTTGAACATCAGTGTCAGTGAAGATCAGATCAGGGAGATCTCAAAGAAATGCTCCTTTCATGAAATGAAAGAACAGGCAGAAAGGGAGAAAGTGAACACAAACCACACAGTGTGCGCTCTGACATCAGACAGGAAGCTGATCTTCAGGAAAGGTAAGGTGTTTTACCAACAAAGTCTATTTAAAATATGAACAGTACTTGAATCACTGAATATGAAAATGACTCAATGTGGATTTTATTTACAGTGACTACATGTATGTTCTTCCAGATATTAATACTTTATAAATGGTTTTAAAGTTAAGTTTAAGTGATCAACATACATGTGTGATTAAATACTGGTAGCAATTAAGAAAGATGTTGGCTGCTAACCAAGACCATTATAACCAATGTGTTTATCTGAAAATGCCATTTATTCTACTACTGTACATAAATCACTTACAGTACATTGGTCCATTTTTATATTTTTTTAAATATGTATTATGTCATTTTGTAGGTGTTGTTGGTGACTGGAGAAACTATTTTACCTCCAAACAGAATGTGCAGTTTGATGCAGTGTTCAAGGAGAAGATCAACTCTAGTGCTTTAGCAAGCTATGTTGAATATGAATAAGAATGAAAGGCAGGTACTGGACCTGTACACTGACAGCACTAATATCAATGTACTGTAGTATACATCTCAAAATATACATTTTATGCTTTTCGTGATGGGAATGGTTTGTTTAATATCTGTTATTTTTTGTTATTTTCGTATTTTGTACTTGTAGTATTATTATAAATCATATTTAGTTTCTTTTTATTAATTCCAAACATTTCCAAATTGTCAACATTTGTTCAGCCACTAGTTTGTTTAAAAAATAATTATAACTTGAAGTGCTTTATTCTTGGATAATAGGTTGACTTTTAAAAGTTTGAATAGAGTTTTGTAAATCCCATTGTTCAAAGGGTATTTTATGTAAATCAGTTTCATATATTGTAAAACTCCTTGTGTAATTTTTGGTCTTATGAATTAGTTTATATAAATTATTTTATCTGACTTTGTCAATCTGAAAGATGACTCATATTGCTTTAGAATTATATTGTTGTTATGATATACAGTAAACATAAAAATGAGAACTGAACTATTTTTGGATACAGGGAACACTTGTGTACTGTTTGGACTGTCTTACATGCAGTATATACATTAATGTATAAGTAATTATACTAGGTACTCTGTAAAATCCACAATAAAGTTGCTACAGTAGATATCTTCACCCTTAAATAATATTAATAATTATGTTGAAGAAGACCTCAGAAACCTGAGAGTGAGAGGATGGCGAAGACTGGCTCAGGACCGAGTTGCGTGGAGGAGGCCAAGTTTCTACAAGGGCAGTAGCTCCATGGGGTTGGGTTAAAAAATATTCAATAATTTAGAGATATAGGTCACCTGTATAAACCTGGTTTGCTGAAAAATAATAGTGACATACAGCTAAAGTGATATCTCTGCGCAAACGTGGGCATGGGCTCATTCTTTATATTAGCATTACTGATAGGTCATTTCAGAGCATAACATACTACCTTCATATCTACTCCTTGGAAGTTATTATTAGCACATATCTGTCTTCCCATTTCCTTTACAAACCCTGAAAAGTGGCTACCAAGAAACCCAAAAACATTAGTAGCTACTCTTCTTTTTTAGGGAACAAGGATTCATGGGTAACCAAACGTTACCTTTCATGTTGAAGAGTAGCAATGAATAGGACAGTGTAGCAATACTGTTGCATAGCGTACCTAGTGGTATATATTGGCCTTAGCATTAGGTCTGGAAAACTGTCAAGGACAGAGACAGCAACAAAGTGACTCGAAGACCCATCCACATGTACAGTAGGTGGTAAAATCTTGAAAAAGTGTTCAGACTAGCCCACCTAACCCAAACACAGCTCTCAGACAAACCAACTCTTCTGTAGCCAATGGGGAGCAATAAGAAGAACCATTAGAAGTTATAACGGCTACTGGAAGAAAATCATATAGCCATCTGCACGGCCTAGTTGTCATGATCGTGATCCCTTCTCTTAAGGGCCCTCCAACCCTTTTGTATTTTAATTGATTATGTGCACCTCCCACCTGTTTTGTGTCTCATTATTTAACCCTGGCGCTCTCGCTATTCCGGGCTCAGCATTGGAAGATGGACGCCCGGAAGCCCGCCTACCAGCGGGTCGAGGAGATACCCAACGGCATAGGCTTCATCACAGCGTCCTGACCTGCTGAGTCCGGGACTCAGAGCACCTGGCCTCGTTACTTTCTTTTAACGTCTTGTTCCTGTTCTGAATCCCGTTCCGGATTTTAACCCCGTCTTGTCTTGGATGGATCACCCGGTTTTTGGACTTTGGACTGCACCCTGGATTTCCCGTTTTGGATTTCCCTGGACTAGTTGCGTTCGCCACACACCCCATCATGAACAATGATGAAAGCTTCCCATCCCATCTATAAGCACAAAACAACACATGGGAGGTGATGACACCCCTAAGGAATGGCCATCGCAGAAGAACAATGGGCCTGCATCAGTCTGCATCAGCTGACGACGGAGCAAGCCAGGTGAACTAAGAAACCAAGCTGACGGGGGAGGTCTGTCACAAGGGCTGTGTGACATGCAAACTCAAGATTCGTACCCCTGCAGCTGCAAAGAGAAGAGATGTACAGTATAGTGGCATCTCAGATCTGGGTTGGATGGAATGGTCCACAGTGTGAAATATACTGTATACACATTTCTGTATTGTTTGACATGGCCAAATTCAGACATGGCAATCATGCACTATTTTAAAAGTACAATAATTCATATGCTTGTTTATAAGAAATAACTGATATATAAATAGAGAGAAAATGAACTTCTGTCTAATTGTGTACCTCTTTTAAGCCTGGTGCCCTTGGTATTTGCCTAGTGTGCCTACATGATGGGAACAGGCCTGTTACATTTATACTGTACATGCAAGGGAACCTAGTGTGTGTCCTGTGTTAAATGTTAATTGATAAAAGGATCTGTAGTAAATGAAATGTGTTCTAGTGAATACAAGTAAACTCATGTCATCTTAGAGCAAAAGATCAAATTACAGTAACTCCAGAACTGCTCTATACATTTCAAAGTCACTGCATTTAAAAAAAAATCACTTGATATTGGATTTAGAATAATACGAAAGAACTATTACAAATATAATATATAAATATACTGAATGTGAATAGCAAGAGAATACTGTACATGTTGACTGAGCTCAGAACAATATATTAAAGGAAGGCTGTTACAGATTAAATTAACATTTTGGATCAGTGTCGATGGAAAAGCTTGATTGGGTCTCAGGATTGCAGATTTAGTCACAAAGTTAGCTTGTTAAATTAATTTAATTTAAATCAAGTTAAAATTTCAAATTAAATGAAGAGTTTACCCATCTGATTTCTCTAGCCTAACATCATTCAGCAGTAAGGATAAAGGAAGCCTTGCAAACCTACCGATTCTGCAAAATCATGCTGTGTTTACAGAGGAAGCTTACTACACATGGGAAAGCAACCTGAACTGGAAATGTATGGCTCAATGTGTCAGTCAAAAGTTCACTGTCATACTCCAAAGAGTTCAATTTGTGTTGAAAGAATACCAGTGACCTGATTAAATACTAATACATCAGTACTAAATATAATGGTATATAGTGTTGTATGTAAAGGAACAAGTAATAGGTTTATTCCATGCTGAAAAAAAGAAGAAAGAGAACAACGTTTTGGCCGTGGAGCCTTCTTCAGGTGTGAAGGCTCCACGGCCAAAACTTTGTGTTCTCTTTCTTCTTTTTTTCAGCATGGAATAAACCTATTACTTGTTCCTTTGCAGCCTACGCATGCTGACGCAGCTACCCACCTGAACTATAGTGTTGTATGTATGTTTGTATGATCTATAATTATTTTATTAACTATCCAATCAGGAACTGCTAGAAGTTTAAAACACTGGCTCTTCAGTAACAACTACTATATACACTCATGGCAGAATGAGGCACCAGAAATGGTGCTGCAACATGCTCATGTGCACAGTTACTGTGGACACGCTGTAAGTCGGTGCTGGACACAAGAGCTAGCTCCTGTTGGAGGAGGGACGCTTCTGTCACTGACATTGTTGCAAGCCCTCAGTCTTCTGCTGAGAGTCAGCACAGTCCCTGATGAACAATCCTTTCTTTTCTTCTGCGCTGCACAGCCAAGCACGTGATGCTGCCTTGGAAACCCACGGAAAACCGACTAGTGCCATCAAGACCCAAGATCTTAAAACCCCCTTTTGAGACCCCCTCAAAACCCCCTTCAAATGAGCACCTTTTGAGACACTCCAGAGCCCTGCAAATGTATGATAGTGACCCTGAAGTTTTTGATGACTTTCCACATCTAGAGAGTGTGGGAAATGAGTGTTGGATGTGTTGTTAATAATACTGTAACTTTAACTCAATGGAAGTTATATTAAAGTTATATAAGGCAGTAGTTGACCTTGCTGTATATGCAATTTTCTAGTCAGCTTTGATTCCCAAAGTATTCAAAATGCTGAAATTACAATTACCTCTTCAAGAATAACAATTCCAAGAACCCAAGGACACAAGTTAAAAGATGATTACAATCATTCAGGAGACACGTCTCTCCACCAGTCTACACAACACATCTTAACCATGTTGTTGTTGCTGACACTGTGAAAACCTCTAAGGAACCGTTTTTTAGGTTATTTTAATCATTAAGATCCTAGCAGCCAAATGAGCAAGAAAGGATGGAAAACCTGTTTTTTTTCTGTAACCTTTCTTGCATTCTGCATAAGTAAGACTGTGTGAAAATGAATATCAGGAAATTGTGAACTTACATTCTATTGTGAAAATACCCTTTATTGCATAGTTGTTTCCTGGCTGGCACTATGATCTTTGTGTGATATGACCTTGCCATTCTTTGAAAATAATGTTCCACAACATTCTCACACTCAAGTTCAGCAACAGCTGCATTTTCATTAAAATGCTATAGTTCAGGTGGGTAGCTGCGTCAGCATGCGTAGTGTCACACCTGAAGAAGGCTCCACGGCCGAAACGTTGTGTTCTCTTTCTTCTTTTTTCAGCATGGAATAAACCTATTACTTGTTCCAAAATGCTATAGTTACTCCTTTGAAAATACTGTAATATGTTTTATGTTACTTTATGTTACATTGCAGACAACAGTGAAGATTATCTCGATTTAAACATCATCATGCTCTATTTGATTTGTAACAGAGCCAGATGGACAAAGGACATTGGGTGCACAGGCCGGGCACATCTGGTAAATTACACCATCATATTGCTTTCAGCCGGGCTAATATCACCCTGTGTGATAATTTTATCTGTCAGATTAGTAATTATCACAATTAAAAAGCCTTATAGAGGTTCTCAACTACAGCTAAGAAACCCTGAAAACACCATTTTCTACTGTTATTTTTGCCTCCATTGCATTCAATGAACTCATCATGATCAGTGGAGTTCCCAAGTACATGTAGAGGCTCTTTCTGAATGTCTCTGTAACTGATGATAAAAACCACAGGGGCCCTTCGACCTATATGCATTCCGGATAATTCAGTCGCATGTGTATGAGTAAAGCAGAATCCATCTCTGTTTGTTGCAGCATGGCTTTATTGCTCAATATCAAATAGTAGCTACAAGATAAATCACCTAAGACACTCAAACCATGATAGCTGTCAGAGAATCTGAATATGGCGATCGAAAGTCAGTTTTTTAAAAAGTCTTTTCAAGACAAATTGGACAGTTTTGGTAAAAGCAGACCTAAACCCACCTTATCAGCTAGATAGTGATAAAACCCCTTATACTGGTGTAACACTTATTATGCAACATATTGTAATACATATTGCACCTCATTAGAACTTCACTTTGCCTGAAACAGTAAATGTAAAAATAATGGAAGCTCTAAAAAGTGTTTTTTACAAAACCCAAAATAGAAGAATGTCAATGGATACCTAATTTGGAAATATATCAAAAAGTGTTTAAAAGATGTGCTACAGTATATGACCTTTGTACAAAACAAAGTAAGTGTGTCAAAGAAAAAAATGCTAAAGTTCTACAACTAGTAAAAGATACAAAGGGGTTTGCGGAAAATATGAGATGAATACTTGCAGATGTGTAGTACTCACAAGGAAAATTAAGTTAAATGTTTATATAATGGCTTTTACATATATATTTTGGAAATACAATTCCTTTACTTACTGCAGCTAATCCTTATACTGACATCCTTTCCAACACTGGACTGGTTGACGTTACTTAAGACCTCAGCATTTGCACCACCATTTGAATTTGAATATAAAGAGATAAAGATTTTGTATTTTAAAAAAACACAGCGTAAATAAACCTTTCAAATATCTTACTTTGTGTGGTTGATGAGTTTGCCGTTCGTCTTCTCAATGCAGCCCTGTTCCTCTGTTTATCTGACTGTGTGTCTGCCTGTGTGAATCGTGCACGTTCCCAAGTGCCTGACAGCCTCGATGTGTGTGCCGGTCTTGCTCAGCATCTGTCAGCACAGCGGGGTGTCACCTCATTCTCCCTCCTTTTGTCTGGAAGTTTCCACATTCTTATAATTCTCATATTCATTTGGAGTATAACATTTCTGCTTTTGGCTCCTTTTTTTAGAACATCTTACTGCTGTCAAGTTTAAAAAAAAATAAAATACTGAACCTCTCCTTCAAACATAAAACAAAGGTGGAATTCAAACCTGTGCTGATACTGTACTGTATATGACCATTAGTGCTTTACCCATTAACGTAATCACTCGATCACCCAGGCTGATGAACTGTAAAAGGTCAAGGCAGGTTACATCACTCCAAACTCCTAAATACTAGAAACAGAGCTGTGAAAACTGCAGCCATTGTGTACTGGTGATTAATATCAAACACTACAAAAGCAGTGCCATAAAAACTAGAAACAGGAATGCTAAAGGGAGAAACCTTCTGTTTTATACCAGAAAGCTGCTGAATACAGGTGAAAGGACTTTAATACTACACAGAGAACGACAGGTCAATACTGGCACATCAATTCACTTAAAGACTGTGAGTAATGAGCACATTAATTTGTTTGGTATAGTCAAATGTAAAGGAACTTATTCATCATGCATCAACTAGTTTCTGGTTGAGCTCCTGTTTCTCACAGTGGTGTGAACTCCTCAAGATAATTTAAAAGATAAAAAAGAAACACACTGCTGCATTGCTCAGAAATTGTAGTTTACAATGAAAAGATATGGGATAAACTGGAAGAATATGTATTCCTTCTC